TTCGGTGTATAGGACGCAAGCAGATTTTGACATCAAATTTTGGGGTTAAAAAAAAAGTGCATCTTATACACCGAAAAATACGGTATATTTATAATCATATAACTATATATCATTTTGAGCCTTAGAATATTTAGTTTTACCATAGGTGAAGGCTTTGTTCATTGGTATCTAGATTACTTAAACAAAACCACTTCTAAGGTTAAATTTAACAGCATAGTCTTGTCCAAAACAGTCAATTTTTATTGAACTCTATAAAGATAAAGTCATCAGTTTCCTAGTGAAAGTCACTACACTAAAAATAATGTATATCAACTGCTTGGTTACTTTAATTCTAAAAAGTCATTATTGTTAATATTTCTACCTGTAAATGACTGTTATTGTCGATTTAGGTGTATTATATTTTTAGAATCTCTTTATAGATATTACCATTGTTCTTTAAGTTAAAGACTGCTACTAAACACAGCTGAAGAACAAAACTGAAAAGATGAAAGAAAGAAGTAATATCTAGGAGTATAAAATTTTGAATAATGTCAAAACACATGCCAGATTTTTACACAAATTTTAAAAAAACCTTAGAACATATTACCTATTAAGATCTTAGTAAATTCTTTTAAACCTGCTCTCAAGAGAGAAGTTAAATACTTTAATCAAGCATGAAGCAGAGCCAATTTCCTTTATTCATTTACACACTGCAGTTCAACAATGGCTCTCCTCATTCCAATTGTGTAGTCACTTCACAGTACATTTGTCAGTGCTCAGCCAAGGTACTATGGCACTGTCCTTATTTCCACACCCTGATGACAGCACCAACCACTTTTAGTTTTTACTATATTATTATTAATTATTGTATATCCCTTTTCAAATGCACGCACACACACATACATATATATGTTTTTAACACTGGGTACTCAGTGGATATAAAATGATTATAATACTATTACTATTACACACTTGAGAATTGTGGTACTGGTTGTCCTCCCTCCAATAACCCTTTCCATGCTGTCAGGCTGTTTCATTCCTGTTTATTCTGATCTCACTCTTAAAATGCTTAACCTAATTACATGAAATTTGGTAAACACTTTCTTCATAGTACACAGTTTGTGATTTAAAAAAATTATAAAATTTGACTTAATATTTTAGATTGTGAATTTTCCAAAATTTTGTTTTCAAATGGCATGTTCAAAAAACATTAAAAAAATACTTCCTTTGGTATTAGGGTTTCTTTTTTACTGTGTGCCTAAATCATATAAATGTATCCAAAAGATTTAATTTTTTCTATAAAACTATAATTGTTGTATCTGTGTACTTACTTTCTCATCTGTTCATACAAGCTCTTAGATAGAAAGAAAGTAACTGTTAAAAAATATGAAAGAAAGAAAACCAGATTTTTTAAATATTACTTATCATAAATTTCCATTTTATGTAACCAATAGTTTCATTTCTTCTATTTCCCTCAATTATTTATATTTGTTATCTACCTTCATCTAATGAAGCAGTTATGCAGCCATGAAAACAGCTATCTTACTGCTGATGTTATGAAAAATCTGATTTGTAAAGATACTTATTTAAAGCAAACTCTCTTCCACTCTGCTACTCACTCTTATTAGCTAGCCATGGAAAGATTTCTTCAAAAAATTAAATTTCAGAAGTTATTCAGACCCAGTATACTTTTTCTTTGTCCCCAGTATATATTTTTTATGGTTACAGCATATGATTCAAAATTTATATATGTTTAATAACAGGTTTTTTAAGCATTTACAGTTGTGTGAAAATTCTGTAAGAAATACAGGAATACAGAAAGAAAAGTTCATTTAACTTAGAAAGACACTACTTACAAGGACTGCTCTTCAAGTAGAAGGGTGCACAATTTCCACTTTTAACCAGGCTTTCAATGGTCTGAAATTAAAATATAAAATTAATATAGAATAATCCTAACAAAGTACAGATCAAAGGAATATGAGAGCTGGATAAAGAATCTTTGAATTCTGAGAATTTAGGAAAAAATAATAATTTTGCCTTACCTTAACTTTAATTACATATCATTACTTTACCAATTATTAAAACATCAATAGCTGAATAACCCTATGTGCATGGGGTCGATCCATTAGACCAAGTCTGTACTGAAGAGTTAATGTTTACTATAATTTCTATAATTCCAAATTTACTCAATGTATTTTCACGAATTTTGGTAAGCTTTTAGTAAACATTACAAGCATGCGGTACAAATAACAACAATATTTAATAAGGTATTTCTACTAAAGATTTGTCTCGGAATTTACTTTAGTCTGTCTGACTCAGACTCTGACTAGACTGAATGCAAGGAGATTTTCATATTAAGAATAAAAATACTTTCTTTCATCTTTTCATATTTCATTTAAATAACCTCTAGAACCTACAAAATGAATATCAAAAGTTTTTTTTAGTAAAATTTTATATTTTATCTTATTTTCTCTACCATAACACTATATAGAATTGTTCCATTTGGCTGACCTTGTAACCACCACAAAAAAACTTGAAATAAAACTAAATTACCCTTCTTTCTTTCTAGAAAAACTGCAGACTCTAACAGAAAATTACATTATTTATCCTCAACAGCCTTAAACTTGTAAATAGTTTACATATGTTTTCATTAAATTTTATTGTTTTATTGTTTAAGTCACCCAGAAGGAGTGTGGACAGTATAGGGAAAACAAAATTTCAAGTTACATCATGTGACATCTAACTATATATGTTCTTTCTCATTCCTCACCGTGCAAAACTTTATTTTTTTAATTAATTTTTTTTTTATTTAACCTAATAAGTTTCAATCTAATCTTTACCTTTTAGTTACTTTTGTTAAAAAATATATATCAATAAATAAGAAATTTAGCACTTACTTCAGGACTAGGGCCATTTCGCTCTCAGAATTTGGTCTTCATTAACCGTTAATTTGTTTTCACTAAGATGATTGCCCAAAAAATAATTTATACGTGTAGCTCTCAAATATGCATTTTAAAACACAAACAATATTTTACACAAAACAGAATGTCCAAAACCTACTATAATTTATCTGATTTTCTAACTGACTTATTAACAAGATTTAACTCTCTCAATACAGACTTGGTCAATTTGACCAACCAAGTAACCTTTATATACTCATTTAGTCTTTATAGATTTAATACTTATAACTCCCAACATAGTGTGT